TTCCATTTTAATACTTTGTGTTCTAACAGCTTACACGTATCAGTAGTCCTCCACACTGTGAAATAACCACTTAAAAGAGAATGTGGGACACTTTTGACCCATGGCTCTGGTCATCTCAACCCCACCAGTTAAAGATAAATGTATGTACCTCAGTCTTGCTATCTAAATTCTCCCAAGTAGTCCATCAACATTCCCTCAGCCTTCTCGTTTTTATACTTAGGAGCCATCTTAAATGAACAATTACATTTCAGCATGCCAAAGAGATTTTCCTGTGCATCCTTCCTTACACGTTAGTATTTACATCCTTATCCATCCCCAAGTCACATGTACACAGGAAAAAAAAATAGTACAGGGGTATCTACCATATGCAAGTGTTGCATATCAAGTGTCCACATTCACCTACTGAGCTCTAATAAAAAAGTTGCCCATAGCCTGTTCAGTTCTAAGCAAGGTCAGAAATGTTCCCTGTTCAGTATAAATGAAGAAACGAAGTGCACAAGTACCCTAAAAGAGTATAGACTCCTGAACTTAAATGGTATGAACCCAGATAACACCTAATCTACTACTGGTTTGACATTGTGCAGGGAAATCAGGGAAACCTCAATGAATTTAGAAACATCTTCTGACTTTCATAACTGAGATAAATAATTGATCTTCTGTGACCTGCCTGTATCAGGAATGCGTTTTTGCTAGAAAATGTGGCTTTATACAGTTAAATGATGAAATGTGCCCATTTTAGGCTTGCTCATTCTTAGGTAGTTATGTGCCTTCAAAGAGAGAGTGACAGATCAGATTTAGATATGTAATGAAGGAAGATGATTACTGTGTTTTGCACATCCATGTCTATTTTAAAACTAAACTGTAACTGACCTGTCTTGCTACAAGAGTGACTTCAAACCAGCGTTTTCATAGTCTTACTCATCCCTTTGTTTGCCACAGAAAAGCCGGGGAGAATTGTAAGACCACGACATCCTGGAGAACAAAAACAGATTGTGTTTATCTGTCTACATTCTGCATCAGAGCCCACTGAACTCTTCGAGGTAGCATTAACAACTGTAGGAAAATCAGCAAAGCAGATTGTTTTGCTTCTAATAAAGGAACTGACTCCCAGGATCAAAGAACATTAGTTATGTGGAAAAGTAAATCCTGTTCAGCTGACAGAGTTAAAGTTGCTATTACTTGGAAAAGGCTTGGCACTTAGAGGTCAGACCAGGTAAATCTGAGCTCTCTTAGATTGACGTGGCAGGAAAGCCACCACCATAAAAACCCACCAGTATTACCAGATGCCAATACATTTAGTGCAACTGACGCAAAGAACCTCAATCCCATCCCTAACAGAAGTAAAAACACTATGAAATCTACTTCTGGAGAATAACCTTATAGCAAGATACAACAGCGTACCCTCATCAATCATCCAGACTTCACAGCCTTGTCAACATTGCTCCTGGCAACACAGTGAAACACTTCATAGTTTAATCTGCTTTGAAGAAAAATGTACTTGGCCTTACGTGCTATCTAAGTCTCAGGTTATCTTCATTTCCCACTAAGTCCTCCGAAGTCAATGATATTGTTTCCTCATTGCAGATATTGTTCACAACATTTTTATTAAGATTACCAATACCTTGCCAATCCCCAAAGGGATCGATGAACTCAAGCAATCATAACTTCTCAAACTGCATTCCATTTTGTGTCTACAAAATTACCAGTTTAAGACAGTGACTGAGGGATACAGGAAAGCATGCTCTGCAAGCTCCAAACAAAGAGAACTAAAAAATACTCCATATAATTCACTTCCCCTCCACTCCCTTTTTGAAGATGGTTACTGAACTTCTATATCTAGCCAGCAGTCCCTCATGGAAGTCTCCTTACTTGCACAAATGCCAGGGGTTCTCCATTAACAAAATGACTGAAGTCCCATTATCTATCATCTAGCCAACCCATACGAGACCAGTATAAATTACCCCTTCTCCACTGTCCACACAGCTGACTTCACTGTCAGCACCCTCTTTCTCCAAAGACCTTCACCGTCACACTGCTTCCAACACCAACTTTACTCTGCTGGCATATTAAAGCAGAAGCTGACCATCTGTACAGCTATGACCACCTAAGAAAACAGAGACAATTTACTCACTTTGCTGACTTCTAGCATCAAAACCAAAATCTTCATTTGTAACACTAGTTCTATATTTAAATCCTGCAGCATCAATAATTCATAATAAAAGGAAATGAAGGCTGTACAAACTAATCTCTAGCTATCTAATGAAATGGGTGTAGCCAATAATATTTATTAATTCCTGAATTATACAAGCATAACATACTGGTATTTCAAAACTATGGAAATTAGTCAAAGTAGCATGAAAAGGTTAAAGAATAGATGCGTATATAAGAAAGGGAAACAGTGTCACATTATTTATTGTAGCTCTTCGATGTAAAGGAGTAATTTACTGCTCAAATGAGAAGCTTCTTCTGTTAAGTTTATCAGTAACTGAATTAAAGCTTTGCACTAATAGAAAAGAACATTTTAAGCCAATAAAAGATAAAATTAGAAATCAAATCAAAATCTCATTAAGAACACTTATTTTTAATAAGATTAAGTTCCTTTTACTTCCAAAACACAACTTTTATTAGAGTCCTCCTTAGAACAAACTTTCATACCAAGGATAGTTTGTATCTGCTGAAGACAGCCTTACTGCTGAAGCTACCACTGAAGCTGCCCAGCTGTTACAGACTGCGTTGCCCATTTAAAAATCTAGTTACAAATTCAAGGGGGGCAACCTGAACTAAGCCACATGAGCTCTTTTAGGTGGCAAAATCTGTTTACTTTTTGGATTCACAACTTCCAAGGTCAGCAAGGCCCTGTATCAGCCACTTAGGAAGAAGATAATTTCTCTCTTTTTTAATAAAGGGATTCTTTTTTTCCCTCCATAAAAGAGATTGGGACAACCAAATGATTTATCAGTGTCTCAGCAGACTTGTTTCTACCGTAAATATCCAGCTTCTTGGATATCCAAATAAGCGATGTTATTTACTTTCTACTTCTCATCCCCCAACCAATATACGTCTACGTTTGTGGTTAACCAATGGTTGTACTTCCCTATTCAGCAAAAGGGAAACATGTAATTATCTACCCACAGGTTCTTACAACCATCAGTCAAAACTCATCTCCCATTTCCAAAGTACTTCAAGCATTTGACAAGTCACACGAATTCTTCACACAGTAGCTTCAAGTTCACCTCGCTGGAGTCCAGCAAAAAACAAACGGTGATAATGACCAGAAACCATCTCAACTACAAATTTCTTTAACTCTTTTATAAAAGAGAGTGAAACAAACATTACAAGGATTTCAGGCCCTGGAACCTAAGATTTCATAGAGAAAAGACAAGTAAAACATTAAAAAAAAAAAAAGTTAAACATAGCAAATAAATAAATAAAGCCACAAAGAAAAGACACTCTCAGCTAAGAGACGATTGACTAATGAAAAGGTGGTTTTGAGACAGCAGCCAGCACTTTATTACACTGGGAACTTCAGCAAGTCTCAAGTTATTTTCACTTCTCTTTTATGCAACGTTTCACATCAATTTGACATTAAAGCTAGCTCTCATAGCCTTGGCATTAGAAAAGATACGTATCGCTTCTTTTCCGCACTAGTCAGTCTTCCATACAAACCATTTAGAACACCCTCAAAGTTTTCCATAAGGTATGTCACATGCACTCTGAACCAAAACCTCTTTCACAAGGCTCAGCTTCATTTCTGAAGTCACACTAGACAGTTCACATTTCTCTTTGGCCATTCCAAGCAAAACAAGCCAAACCAACATGTCTTATCAATGATAAGACCTATGCAAGATTGAATCTTAGTTAACAACTTATATCATGCCACATTAACATGGAATCCTATTTATAAAGTGCCCACATGGATCTTGATTATATTCAAAGCTCTATTACAAATTTCCAGGATTTGCCAAATATATATATACATATACATATATATGTATGTATATTGTGTTAATTAAAAGCAATTAGCAATCCTTCTCATTTTTCTTTTGTTCACGAGAGTTCCATGAAAAGATTTTAAAAAGTTACATATGTTGGGCTTGTTCAAATCAGTTATTTATTTTCTTGTGCATCAAAAGAGCTACCCAGTAGATTTACCAAAAAAATAAAAATAACAATTACTAATTATTAAGCCACATCGTTAAAAGAAAATATACTACCCAAAAAACATCTTTTTCCCCTTGAAGTTAACTATGTGAATGCAGAACTGGAGGTCCCTTAGCAGAAAGCTTACCTTCGAATACCAGGAATACCTTCACCTTCAAATAAGTAAAGATGCAGCCTGCACACCCACCCAAAACAGACCAGAAACCACAGAAAGGCTCAGCTGAGAAATGAACAGTTATCCTATCACTATTTCTTCATTTTAACTTCCTAATCTTAACCCACAGGCATTCAGGGCCATGACTTAAATTGCACTTACATAAATAGCTTGCCATCGTCCTTTGGAGAAGAATAAATGACGACTATAGTAGTTCTTATATTCCAACCATATAAAGAATTAACATTAGCTGGCCACCAACATGATCTTCAACACAAGCTAGGTACAGCAATTTTTGTATTAAAAATGAAATGCATAGCCTATCTCCTTCAATATCAATATTCAATTTTGTTGGAAAAGGATCATAAAAACAAGCTTTGCTCATCTAAAGAAGAGACACCTTTACAAATGCCAAAATCCAGTATCAAAGGGTTTTCTAAAAATACAGCAAGGGTCAACCATCAATGTGGAGAAATGTTCACTCCACAAGTGCCAAACTTTTCATAACAAAACAAAAGCAAAGGAATTTATTACAACAGAATAGTACAAACAACTAGTTTCCATGATCAGAGGGTAAAATTTTACAAAAAAAAAAAAAATGCAAACAACGTAATTCTGCTTGAGGAGTGACAGACAGATACACCAGGTTTACAAAAACAACATCTTGTTTATGCACATCTAAGTGATTTCCAGTCTGCTTTATTTTAAACCAAATACAGTACATTTATAAAAAAAAAAAAAAAGAAAACAGCATGTACATTCAATATAAAACATTTCCAGCAACAGCTACAGTCCAGTTCCCATTCACAGTATTTTTAGTGCAATGCACTAACAGGGCCAAATATTTCTCTATCCATAAAAAGTATTTTTACTTCTGATCTTGTGATCAACATTTTTAGATATATTTTATACAAAAAGTATATATGAACACGAGGCACCTCCCTAAGTAAGGGAGTGAACCTATATAAAAAACATGGTATTTCTTCTGATGTACAGTACCTTCCAAATTGTAGCAATTTGACACAAATCACTAACAAAATATTTTCTAAAAAGTAAAAAATAAAATAAAATAGAAAAATAACAAAACAAAACCACTGATGCACAAAACTTGCCAAGAATCCCATAATGGCAGGCATGCAACAGTTTTACTAAAATTCTGATTAAAAGGTTTAAAAAAAAAAAAAAAAGGATCTAAAACATTTTCCAAATTATACAAAGTCAAGTGCTATCTATAGTGGTCATTCATCATATCGAGAGAAAAATTACTTTGAATTTCTCCCATACTATCCTCCCTTTTTATTAATATTTAAAGAAATAAACTAACATTATAAGTGGTTGTGCACAGATTGTCTGTCTATAATACATCAGCAAATATTCACTACCTTCATATTAACATTAGTGTGTTGATCTTTCAAAAAATAAACTGAAAATATAAACTGCAACTATCATTAAAGTGCTTGTGTATAAATTTTTTTAAAAAAATTCAAGAACAGAGGAATGTGGATATTCTTGTAAACATCCTAGATGTTTACCAAGTTGTCCTATGAATCACATATGGAAAAAATACGGAGATCTTTGAAGCAACTGTAGTACAGTGAAATTCAGAACGTCCCACAACTGGGAAATTAGTCAGTATGAACAAACTGATGTTATGGCAAATACTAAAAATTAGTACAATTCAGCCAATATACACTACATTGTTTGCTCTTATACATTCATTTGTAATAAATTTAAACAGTATATAACACAACAATTGCCAAAGTAGATTTCACAAAAAAGTTAAGAGCTGTTCATCAGTTAGCGCTATTAGGGAGGAACAGTATGTACGATGAGCTCTCTGAAGATGGTTTCCTAAATGAGGTCTTCTTCCAAAGCTGTTGTTTGAGTTGCCTCTGTATTATTTTTTTTTGAAGTTCATGTATCAAACCTCAACTGCATAGACATAAGCATAGTTAACTGCTAATTTAGAAGTACATGTGTATTTCAACTACTGCAGTGTTTTGGGAGGAAGCACTGTCTAACAAGCAGTCAGAATGGTCGTAATTTAGTAAGAAAACAACAGCTTATGAAAATATTTCCTCCTCACAGTACCATTATCAAGATATTAGCGGTTCCAACACCACATTAAAAGTCTTTTTCATGCAAATGAACTCCAAACTTTCCGAACATCACTTGAACCTATCTGAGGAGAAATGGGAATAAATTAATGCTTTGCGTTTACCAATATAATTCTGTTTGAAATTACAGAAGATAAATAATTTACAAGGTTAAATTTTTAATTCATCATCAAAATACAAGTCACTCTTCCTCTTAAAATTACAATAATTCAGGGTCCAGTTCCATTCCATTCAGCCAGGATTTGTTACGAAGCCATGAACAGGTCAGAATACATTTTAGCCTAGCTAACACTACAAAAACTGAACTGAAATCAAATTACCTCCCACTTCAGAGTAAAAATATAGAGCAAGGCACGTATACTTGTATTTTTTTTTTCCACCAGATATGTTATAAGGCTATTTCTAAATAAGAATATTAAAACCTCTTATAGGTATTGCTAATGTCTCTCCATTATAATATTTTTTATACAATCCCCACACCTTTAGGCATGAGTCAATCACTCTGAAATACACAATATTTCCTTTTTCTGAAAGGTCCTCTTAAAAAAGAGGTCATATTTAATATAAAAGGCACTGGAAAACTAAGAAAATACAAATACAACTCTCAAGTATAAAACAATTCCCAGTGTACCATATAAGCAGAAGTTTAGAAAATTCTTGGCCAGACCTCTACATATATTTAGGCTTAAAACAAAAAATCTTTATGAGACTCAAACTTTGAAAAATAAACGACCAGAAGTCTCTGAACTTGTGCTTGTATAAATAAGCACTAAAAGAATCAAATCCTAAATTTGGTGATTTTAAGTGTTCACAGGGACCTAACTCAAAACTGATTTTAAATCAAAACAATTAAGTGCCCAAATTACATTCAAAGTGTTCTATGTCCTACTGCAGGTAGAATATGTGTTATAGCCTAATATGCATGAAACATTAAAAAAAAAAGATAATTACTGTACATCATAGACATTTTCAGTCAACAGCTTTTACCGTGGTATTTTTAGCACTTCTTCAACTAGGTTACAGAGCTGTTCGTTAACAGGATAAGTTATTCAAACCAGACAAAAGCACTGATAATTTAAAAGCATACTATTTTAGACATGTATTTATGTTAGCTTGACTATAACAATTTAATTTAAAAACAATTTAAATAGTCAACTTTGTACACTTTAATCTATTTTCTACTCCAGTTTGCTGCAATGAAAAATTTAGAAATTAATTCTTTTCCTAAAAACTAAAAAAAAAAAATAATTAAGAAACCGCTTTGACATATATCGTAGTATTTCAGCCTCTAAACCATAAAATCTATGGAAAAATATGGTGGTTTTGTTTTGTTTGGAGAAAAAAAAAAAAAAAGACAAAACACTATATTTTCCTCACCAGACAACAGCTTTAGATCTTGTACTTCTGCCTTTGGTTTTATTTTCTTCAGGTGAATGAGATACATTCGCCTTATGGGTTTTCTTATGATGTTCTAGGAAAGCTTTTCTGGCAAACGCTTTCCCACATTTATTGCATCGATGAAGAGAAAAGTTTTTTGTTACTTTTACTTCAATGCCAACATCAGCTCCTTCATACTTTTTATTGGGCGAATTAGAAGTGACATCCTGTTTGGAACCAATCTGTTTTGTTTCATCCCTCTGAGGGCCTCTTTTTGTCACCTTATTTAGAACAAGATCAATTGGCTTTTTTATTGCTCTAATTTCTAAACTTGCAGTTATTTTCCCAAGGTAGCGCGGTGACTTTTTATGAACTACAGTTATATGCCTTATCACATCGCGTTTGCGACGTGTTTCGTACGAGCAGAGCGGACACCTGTAGTATTTAACATAAATGTTATTCCCATCTGTGTGTAATTCGATGTGTTTTGTCAAGTTCTGTTTTGAAGTAAATTGGCGTTTACAGAGTTTACAGTAAAGTTGCTTGAAGTCAAAGCCAGCTGAAAGTTTTGGCTTCCTGGTTTTTTGCTGGCCACCTGCAGCAGATGCATTGGTTGATTTAGAGGTTGGTTTAGAGGTTGACTTAGTGGTTGATTTAGAGGTTGATTTAGGGTTTTCTGGGTCCTGTTTAACTTTATTTTTCTGTGCTGACGGAGTGCTTTTTTTCTCGTTTGAATGATTTGTTCCCTTTAATTCATTCTGTGGAGAAAGAGCAATGGAAGGGGGTGAAGGTTCTACAGAATCTGCTGGTTCAACTTTTAGTTTTATTTCTGTTCCATTGGCAGTATTGTTGGGTCCTTTCTCTCTTTTAGAGTTCTTTCCAGAAAGAGTTATCTTGTGAACAATTTGCATGTGCCTTTTCAGCATTATTTGTGAACTATATTTTCTCTTGCACAGAAGGCATTTGCACGCAGTTAAATTGTATTCAGCCTTTGAAGACGACTTTTGTTTTCGGGTCTTAAAAGATTTTTTAGCAGAAGCTGTATCCAGGAACAAAGGTTGCCCAGGTTTTGTAGCTATATCAGGAGTAATGGAATCCCTTCTTAATCCTCTATGAACTTCATCAAAATGCCTCCTTACGTTGGCTTTTGTGGCAAATGATTTATAACACACAGGACAACTTCTACCTAATGTTACAAGAACGTTCTTATTTCGTCCCTTTGTGGAGCACTGATTTGGTTTCTTTTTTGTTTCTATGTACTTCTTTAGCTCTTCCATCTTTTTTTTGTGTACTTTTCTAATGTGCCGGCGTACACTGCGTCTGGAATGAAATTCTTTTCTACAAAGGCAACAAATCAGCTGGTGGCCAAAATCAGAATTATCCAAAGAGTCCAACTCAGGAGTTACTGCTGGAGGCTGTTCTTCAGGAGTAGGTATCACCTTGTTTGTAACAGGATCAGCAGGAGGTAATTCTACAGTCTCCCCCACTGGAGCTGGAGCTGAAACAGTCTTGGGTTGCTCAGTGCTGGGTTCCTGTGTCTGTACTGGAGTTTGATCAGGAGGACTACTACTTTCTGTGTTCTCTTCTGGGCTATCAGTCCTTGATACATATTGAAATACAGCATTCTGATTAGTTTCTATAGGTTGTAATTTAATTATATATTCTTGTTTGTCTACCCTTGGATAGATTGCTTCCAGGAGGTCATTTATGGCTTGACTCTGTTTATCATTTATATCTGGGAGGTCTGCAAAAAAAAAAAAAAAAAAAAAAAAAGGCAAAAGTATTATTTTAAAATCAGTTAGTAACTTAAATTATTTAAGTTTTACAAATTTCAAAGTGCCTTTTTACCACTGTGTCTATTCAGACACCAAGTTTGCATAAGCCACGTATTTTTACTATTTTACCGACCTTTTATACTTACAGGCTTTGAGTAATCATTTTTACCATATCAGCACAGGTGACATTTTTAGTAGAAGCCAAGACTGAAATAACATCCTTCTAGTGTGCTAACATGAAAACCACCTAGGCTAAAAATTAGTTTGTCAGGAATTAAACTGTTATCTAAAAAGCTGTATCAATTGCAAAAGTAAGGACACAGGACTAAGCTATGTCCTTAGGACTAAGCTTCCAGTGTGCAGCTAAGCCTGAAGCATCATTAGAAGCTGATTTTCCTACTGCTGGAAACAGGCGTTCTCAACAGAGAAATATATTTCCAGAAATAAGCTCTTTTTCGTGAACTCTGAATAGTCCTTAAGAAAGAATGAAACATCTGTGTAACCTGAGCACTGCATGAGGACAGAAGTAGATGAGACGGAATTTCTGGGGCAAGGAAAGATGTTAGCACTACCAAAACAGTTAGTAGGCTTAGTGATACAGTATGATAAGCGTAAGGACAGACAAACTCTGAATTTAGGAAAAAATAATTTCTCAAAAGAATAAAAATTCAGTGAAATAATATTTCATGAAATAACTCCACTCAGCTTACCCAAAGGTTCACCCTCTGTTCTGCCTTGATAAGGAGTTGAAATGAACTTAAAAAGCAAGAAAGGATGATATGGGGATCCTCCTCTCCTTGTTTGCCTGATACCAGTAACCTAAACTTTGCAAGCTTGTAAGTTTGTAAAGTTTGTAAAGTACTTTTTTAATATACCTACTTTCAAAAAAGTTTATTCAAGTGTTTTTCAAAACATTTATATCCCTGGCTACCACAATGATGCTATGTGTATTTTACCTAGAAGAAAAAGAAGTATTAGTAAATTTATTTCCTGAGTAAAGTAAACCCACACTGAGTCAGAGTCATTCTTTCTACACTCTGAAGCAGAGGAAACAGTGTCAGAACAAGAAATATGCTGTTTTGTTGCTCAGAACCATGTTTTAACACTGAATTATTATCACCTTTTGCAGTTGGCTTCAAATGGGGATTGTCTGTATAATTTTTATCAAGGGTAAAAAGTCATTCCTATTTTGTACCATCTCTTCATACTATCCAATGACTACGCAAAGTACCTCAAAAGAGTCTTCAGGGAATGGTATTAGGAATTTTTTGCTATGAGGACTACTGAATTTTTATTCCTATAATAATGTCACTAGCTTTTAATTTTATGTATTGAAAAAAATTCCCACTTCATTCAATAATCTTCATTCTCAATTTTATATAAAACATAAGGATTTATATAGCTTTATTCAGAGCATTTATTATTATTCTCTTCAACTGGAGCACATAGCATTGTTCTTGTCATTTGAACCCTTCTTAGTGGACAGTAAAAAACATCAGTTAAGCAGACAATTAAATGAAGGTTAGAATGTCAGGAGCAGGACTGGAAGTCTACTCAGGGTAATCTTATTTTGCTTAGAAACTTTCACATTTAGGTCAGATGCACTTAAATTCTGCTTTGCAAATACAACTCATCCATTTCACGGAGAAGCTCTAGGGCTCTGCATCTGGCCAAACACACTAATTTAAGGAGGGAGACAGTATTAGTCTTTTCACCTTCTCCTTCACAACACCTGCTGACACAGTGTGGGAAAACAGTCACCTAAGCAAATCACTAGTTTCTTAATTTTTTTTTAATTATTGAGGCATGAGGATACTAATAAAGGAAGAAAAAAAAATCATTGCAATGTTGACCTAGTCAACAGAGACCGAGATAATTAAAAAAAATATGCTGATCTAAAACTGAAATGCCTTGTTAGATCCAAGCTTTTTTATCAAATTCAGTTTCCCAATCCTTTGGCATACTCTGCAGTATCTTCCACCATAAAGAGAAGAAATGAGAAAGGAAAAGGACAAGAAGGAATAAAAAGTGTTAATAGTGACATTAAAAAGGTTGGGCCTAAAATCTAGCTATCAAACTATGACATGAACACAAGTATTACAATTAGTAAAACTTACTATCATCCATCTGGAGACTTGGAGGACAATAAAACTTTTTATGAGTAATTAAATTTGGTAATCCTCTGAAGAGACTCCGGCACAATTTACACTCAAAAATGGTGTCCACATCTTTTAACAAGATATGTTTAAGTTGTTTAGTTCCTGTAATAAAAGGAAATATTACACTTAAAGGAAGGTTTTCTGTTCATCTAACTCAAAGCAGCTCATGCAAGCAGAAACATTTTAAAACATGACAATTTCAATAGCATTTTATCTTGCATTTATGCTTTCATTGCACTGTTTATGATACACACAAAAAGTTTCACTATGAAAACAAGACTAGTCTGAAAAAAGTGTTTACACACATTACAGCTTATAGTGAAAGAGCAATGAGTTATTAACAGAACAGCACAGGTTGGAAGGAAACTTCTTTTGTTTGTTTTTTTATAAGCTCCCTTTAAATATTGAAGGGCTGCAATGAGGTCTCCCCAGAGCCTTCTCTTCTCCAGGCGGAACAGCCCCAGCTCTCTCAGCCTTTCTTTCTAGGAGAGGTGCTCCAGCCCTCTGATCATTTTAACAGCCCTCCTCTGGGCTCGCTCTAACAGCTCCACATCTGTCTTGTGTTGGGGGCCCCAGACTTGGATGCAGCACTCCAAGTGGGGACTCACAAAGGCACAGCAGAGGGGGCAATCACCTCCCTCCACCTGCCAGATATTCCTCCATTGATGCAGCCCAGGACACAGTTGGCCTTCTGGACAGCAAGTGCACACTGCTGGCTCATGTTGAGCTTTTCATCCACCAGAACCCCCAAGTCCTTCTCTGCAGGGTTGCTCTTAATGAGTTCTTCTCCCAGTCTGTGCTCATGTCTGGGATTGCCCCGACCCAGGTGCCGCACCTTGCACTTAAGATTTGTTGAACCTCACCAGGTTCACATGGGCCCACTTCTCAAGCTTGTCCAGGTCCGTCTGGATGGCATCCCTTCCTTCTGGTGTATGACTGCACCACTCAGCTTGGTGTCATCTGCAAACTTACTGAGGATGCACTCAATCCCATTTGTCTAAGTCATTGATGAAGATATTAAACAGCACCAGTCCCAAGACAGACACCTGAGGGACACCACTTATCACTGTCCTCTACCTGAGCACTGAGCCATTGACCACCACTCTCTGGGTGTGACCTTCAAGCCAATTCCTTATCCGCTGAATGGTCTACCCATCAAATCCATCTGTCTTCAATTTGGAGACTAGGATGTCACGTGGGACCATGTCAAAGGCCTTACAGAAGTCCAGGTAGATGACATCGGTTGGTCCTCTCTTGTCAATTGATGCAGTCTCTCCATCATAGAAGGCCAGCAGATTGGTCAAGCACGATTTGCCCTTGGTGAAGCCATGCTGCCTGTCTCGGATCACCTCCTGTTCTGTGTGCCTTGACACTGCTTCCAGGACAAACTTTTTTTCATGATCTTGCCAGACACAGAGGGGAGGCTCACCAGTCTGTAGTACCCTGGGTCCTCCTTTCTACCCTTTTTAAAAATGGGAGTGATGTTTCCCTTTTTCCAGTCACTGGGGGCTTCACTCGACTGCCAGGGCTTTGCAAATAGGATGGAGAGAGGCTTGGCTACTACACCAGCCTGTTCCCTCAGGACCCTGGGATGCGTATCACCAGGCGCCATACACTTGTAGCTGTTCAGTTTCATCAGGTGGTCTCAAACCTGCTCTTCATTTACAGTTGGAGGGACTTTGCTCCCCCAGCCCTCATCTACAGGTTCAAGGAAACAAGAGACATGGGAAGCCTGACTGGCGGTGAAGACTGAGGAAAAAAAGTTGTTGAGTACCTCAGCCTTCTCCATGCCTGTTGTTACCGTTTTTTAAGACCCAAACCAAAGCTAACATTAAAAAGGATTCCATACCAAGGTACCTGGTTGCTGCAATACATTTGCCTAACAGCAAAGGACAAGCAACTGAAGCATTTAAACAGGTCTGCAGTGTTTTTTCTTTAAGCTTGTCCAACACTGTTAAGAAAGCAAGATACCTACAGCTATTTCACTTTTTTTTTTTTAAAAGCACTAAGGCAAAAAATGACAGAGCATACAATTAGACTCAGAGAGCAACTAACAGGTCAACATCAATGTTACTACATCTGTGCACCTGACCCAAGTTCAAAGTGATTGAGCTTATGCAAGAAAATAGAACTGGAGACGTATTTTCAGCCTGCTGAAAGGAAAATACAAGTAATTTAAGTCAGAAACTTTTCTGTTAAAACACAACTAATTTGACAGAATGTGCAGTTTTCTCACACTTGTATATTCCAAAAAGAACCTGCAAGAGTAAGAAGGGCTGGAATTTGAGAACGCCAACAATGCTAGACCAATCTTTAAACTCCAAACTTTTTAATTGTTTAAGTTACACTTCAAGACCAGATTTCACATCTTGCTAAAATTATGTACGTAATGCCTACAATTAGCAAAGGATTGATAAATGATGAATACTTGCCCGTGCCGAACCAGAAGGAAACACCAGCTAAACAAATTCAGCTAATTTCTCCAATTTGATATTTTTCTTATAAAGGAATAAATCAAAATTAATCTAAATTAGTCAAACAAGCAAAACCATAATGAAACTGGGCAAAGAATGAATATCTCAGACAACTACGAAACAGCAAAAATGACATCAAGATATTCTTCCAGCCCAAACAGAAGTTCAAATTTTCACTCATCAGAGGCACTGAAGAATTCCATTTAAAGATCAAACTTAGAATCACACTGCAGAATTATTTCTTAAACCAAACTTTTTGAGTAAACCTTACATAGACAGCTTTTTATTTCTAAGTCTAAAATAAAGTAAAAAAAATAAAATATTTTTTTTTTTTATAACTGAGTTTTGGCAAAGCACAATGACTTCTCTTCTTCAGCTACTTAAAACTAGGATCCAGACTTGACTATCTGAGGCTACCATCCAGTTTCTTGCCTTGGCTATGCCTTTCCCAGGCCACTGCCTAAGACTGTTTTTTCCTCCCACGGGCTCTTTCCTGAAGTGTTACTAACATAATCTTCATCTGACCTGTATTTCTACAGACAACAGACCATTTATTGAAATACACCAAAGTTAAGAATTGTAGAGTTCCCCAAACAGCACATTGGGTACTGAAATTTCACCCTCAAACAGCTAAATTTTGGCATTTTTAAGACAAACACTAATGAAAACCCAGCTGAACAAAACCAAATACACTCCACATAGATAAAATTCCAATGAATCACTAACTATAATTCAAATAAAAAGGCCTCCAACTTGGTGATAGCACACAAACTAATATTTGGCTTTTGCTGTTGATGTGTGCCCTAGCCAAAAACATCCCTCTCAAGTGAAGAAAAAAAACCACCATCTAATTCACCACTATTTCCCAATTAAGGGGACACACAAGTCCCTCATTCTCTCTTCCCCTGCACTCTCTCATGTTATACTGACAGTTCAGTCTCTTCCATTCAGGACTGATTTTTTTTTTTTGTCTAATTCAAACCATTGGTTTTATGAATTACTGGATGAGATTTAAGGACTTATACTGGAGGTGTGAATGGATGACACTGTGGTGTCTCTGGTTTCAAACCTTCCTTATTTAACTGTGAAACTTTTCATAAGTAGCAGTAAAAATATTAATTGCTCTTTATGAATTAAACAGTAGACCATTACTGACTTTTCGAAACAGAAAATAAATTAAAACATCCACTGGTTTCATTGATGCACCAGGCAGAGAAAAAGCAAGCATATCCTCATTCTTCACTAACTGCAGGTTGCAGCAACAAGCAGTCAATTTTCTGCCAGCATATGCTGCCTCCAGCTTTTTTAAGCCTTCTCCACTTTGTAGCTGCAGCTAATTGGGCTAAGTGATACTTTGTCAAATCCTGTTAATATTTGTAAATGTAGATGCTAGAAATAACACCATTGTCAAAAGAAACTGTTACAGCACAGTCATAACAAATACTTCTCTGGCAGAAATACCCAAGCTTACGCCTTTAGCAAGCAATTTAACTTTTCAGAAAAATCTCACCAGTCCACTTCCTTCTACAAGAACATTCAATTCTATTACAGAGTTACAGAATTCTGTATTAGAATGTTGTTTGTTATGTTTTATTGTGTTTGAATCATTATTAGAAAATAGCTACTAATTCATTTGTTATTCTTAATGTTCTGAATGACAGAAGAAGCCTTCTGCTAAAACTGGACTAAATGGAGAACACTCCAGCTTTCATACCTATTTCTTTAAGTTTACAACAGGTATCAAAAGCATTTCTTAACATAATGAAATGTTGCTTGTTCAAAACTAACTAGAAAAATCTGCTCCAGGTCCTTTTGCCTTCTGTCCAACTTCCCCTGGTGCAGATGACTGAAGAGAGCAAGGTAAGCCGTCAATTTAACACATGTCAGTGAGGACAACCTAGAAGCAGCCCACGGACAGATTACTTGTGATTAGCTTGTGCTATCTCCAATAAAGAGTCCATTAATCTGCCTCAAGTGAAAGAAGCCTGCCACACATATTTGAGGCTTTAGGTGAATCTCATTTAAACACACATAAAAATGGTTACTAATGATGACTCACATCCAGTTTTCCTTCTTCTATTAAGTTTCTAAATGCAAGTGGAGAACAAACTGAATATTGTGCCATTCTACAGGACTCAGCTCATATGCAACCCATTACATATCATCAATGACTTACATATGAAACATTTACTTATACATATATATAATGATCTGTTGCTTTATACTTATATATATTAATAACTGCTATGTTCTTGCACTAAGGGTTGTAAAAATAAAATGTGTGTTTTGCCACATCAGAAGCGTAGAACCAGCCGGGAAATATTGCAGGTTTCAATCACCTTTGGCATGCTCATCCAAACACTTGTTGTTATTCTTAGGTTCACTGCTATGATTTGCAACTCCAGAAAAGAGTCAATGAACACCTTAAAAGTATGATGATAGAGCAGTATTAAGAAGTTCAAGGCAAACACCGAATTTTCTCAGCCTCTCAAGAGTTTCACTATAAACAAATCAATAATAGCAGTTGGAGGGATGACACCAAACAAGCCATTTTTTAAGAAATACTTTTGAAAGGTAAATATACTGCAGGAGCTGTATCTTGACTACTTTATATGAGAACCCTTATGAAACAGAACAGCACCTAATGCCAAAAACTTACAAATATTTTGCAACCATGCAGAAACACAGGTGTTGGTGGCTCTTTTGTTTTAATACATATTAAATACACATAACCCTCACAACAAGGTAATAAATGTTTTCAGAGTCAAGAACAGTTTCATACCTGATCGAAAACATTCGATGATTTGTTGAATACCGGATTTTGACGTTTGCAGAGGCTGCTGTAACAATGGAGGATCACCAGGTTCCAACATATGCACTGAAATACATAAAGGATAAGCTGTTAGAGAAAACTGAGATGATTTTTTATTAGGTTATGTATTTTCTGTGCATACAGTAAACTTGATAAAAAGAAGGCCAAAACTACAGTACAAGTTGTCTTGCTCAAAAATTCTCATCAACACTGAATCAAAAAATATCGCAGCGTGAATTTTCCAGCCATGGTACCTTTTGACAACACACTGTCATTTTGATTATTTAAAGAAAATGTGCATTCAAAGCTATGTGAATCAAACAAAAACAACTGTACAAAACCATAATGACTCATAAGAAATTTCGATCAACTAAGGCAATTCCCCAGAACAGCCTACTTGACTCCCATCATTTAAACCAAAACAACAAAACAAATGTACAAAAAAGCTTTACCAAATACCATATTTCTTCAGAATGCCCTATGTGATTCCTGTGTTGTCAATACGTACCTAAGTACTGAATTCACATCCGTTCAGCAATGACCAGAACAAGGCATAAGCATATCTAAGTAGCAGCTATTATAATTACAGCTGTTATAATACTTTTAACAACAACAACAACAAAGTTCAAGAAATACTTCTGGTTCAAGCAAACTGCTGAACTAACATCTTACTTCTGAAGTTTCATTCCATCCTGCAGTCTTCATAAAATCTATTACAACTAAAACTGATCTAAAACTCTTTACTGATCAGGATGATGATTATTATACTGATACACAGTGTTTATGCATGTGGAAATTAACAGCATTCCATTGGTGCATATGCATAAGACAACTAAGCTTTGCTCAGAGAGAAAACCAAATTTACATGAACAAGAGCACCTACTTAAGTGTATGTGTGCAAAATCACTAGTTAGGTCTTCTTTGTCATTTCATAAATCGGTTGCCCACTTGGTAGGACATTTAGCTCCATTATAAGGTCTCAATTTTCTAAATAAGGTACTGAGCATGTCTAAGAAATTTGTTTTTAATGAAGAGCAATAGAGACACAGTTTAAAACTATTTAGGTTTATTAATTGCAAATAGATTAAACATTTTAACAGAAAAGTTATGCCTTTCAATGTGAAGTTATAAATAAATTCAAGCTGGAAAGAGCATCAGAAAGAAAAGAATGATAAAACGAACACTCCATGCAACTCTCATGACCCCATTATATACTATAATATACAAACATGTAACAACCATTACAAATCAGCTCATCGTTTAGGAATCTCTAACACAATAACATTCTACTAGCTTATTCCATATTCTTCAAACTAGTGTACTTTGGGTTGTATACTGCCTCTAGTATGCACGTGCAACACCCACTGACATCAAGAGGAGTGACATATATGAAGCATACGTAACACATCACTATTATTTGTAACCCAAGAATAGTATTTTACCCTTTATAACGCATTAAAGCAACTCAAAACCTCAAAATCTTAAACACAAAGAAGTGTTTCTACAAGCTGAATAATACCTGCTTTCAAATCAAAGTTGCCATGCTCAGGCTTTCAACAATTAATTCCAAAACCTGATGCCTTTCTTTTTGAAACACAAATGAAAGCATCCAAATTATAAGCTCTACAATAAGTCAACAAGGAAGGAACCAAATTTCCTTCTGTGCTTCCAATTATAACAGCAGGCATAACAATTAGAAAAAGAAGCCTACCAAATTAACTGAAACTTCAGAGCACTCAAAGTACTTTCCACTGACAGCATCCTCTGTGTCATAGAGCAGTGGATGCGTACAGTTGTTTTAGGACTTTTAGGGTTTGTGTTTTGTTGTGTTTTTTTTGTTTGTTTGTTTGTTTTGGTAGACACTTAAGAAGCAGACCCCAAGTTCATCAGAGCTCACCCGGGGAGACTCAAAGTAAAGATACACTCAATGAATTCAAGAGACTGTCAAAAATGTCTTTTATAATAATAGCTTGAAATGGCATGCTTTTTGGAAACACAAAAGTTGTATTTCTTGCCTTCCTGTGCTCACTGTACACAGTGCCCATTTGAGGGCTTGAGCACTTTGACAAGCCCTGCAGGAACTGAGAAGTGATCTTTGTTCGATACGTCAACGTGACAGCGGGAGAACACATAAACATTCCCAAACAGAACCCAAAGCTTTTGATACCCCAGAACTTCCCCTAACGGTGCGCACCCGTCGCATCCCCTCAGTTTCTCGGGGTTTCTCGCCCTACCTGGCTCACAGCACCCATGGTGATGGTGGTCAGTCTGGCAGCACTTGTCCCTCAGAGGCATTTTCCGCGGGCACCACCTACTTCCCTTCTACATCCAGCAGCGCGGTCCTGCTAAAACAAGCAAACCGAGAGTCACCTCGGGAGAGAGGGCGAGAAAGCGGCTCCGCGGCGGGCCAGGAGCACCCTCGGCGGGGAGAGAAGGAGGGAGGGAGCGAGGGAGCGAAGCCGCCGCCTCGCAGCGCACCTCACGGCGCCCACGCTCCCGCTCCCCGGCCCGACCACGCGCGCCCGGCCGCGGCAGGTGACAGCGGGAGGCGGGCAGGGAGCGGCGGGCGGCAGCGCCTACCTCCGAGCCGACAGCCGCGCCGACGGCCGGGCCCCCCCGCCCCAAGCTCGGCTCCCCTCAGCCCCGTCCCGCCGCGGCGGCGGCCGCTGACCCCGGAGCCGGATGGGCACGGCGGAGGAAGTGACTGCGGCCGGGCGCCGCGGGGCCGCGCACTGCGCACGCGCCCGGGCCGCCGCTCCCCCGCGGCGAGCCGCACAGGTGCCGCCGGGCGGCCGTTGGGCGGCCGTTGGGCGGCCCCGGCGCTGCCCGCCGGTGGGGTGCTGAGGGGCGGCCCCGGGTGGCGTGTCTGCGCTCAGCCTGCTTTGTTACAGCTGTTGGTAGTATGTTTGGTTGTTGGTTGGTTGGTTGGTTGAAGTTCTTCTGGTAAATTTTGCCGTGATGGGTGTTCCCGTGAGGTGCGTTCCCAAATCCAGTCAGGGGACGTTGGTGTGGTGCACCGAGCGGGCAGGCACCCGCTGCCTCCACACGGCTCACAGAATCACAGAGTCATCCAGGTTGGAAGAGACCTCCACCATCACCGAGTCCAACCTCTGACCAAACACTAAAAGTCCTCCATTAAACCATATCACTGAGCTCCACATCTAAACATCAAGGTGTCTGCCACTGCTCTGCTGGCAGCAGCTCGGCGGGGTGGGAGGGTAACACTTGTTTGTTTTTTTCAAAGGAAAGGACATGAGTAAGTCTTCTTCCACTGCAGGACAAGTGTCCATCATTTAAGGAAAAGCTTTTGTAGGGAATACAAGAAGTAAACACATGTATGGGGAAAATGCTGAGTGATGGTACCAATCTGTTGTCAAGTTTCGGCTTGTGATTGAATCACTTCTTGATGGAGACAGGATTCAGGGTTTCAGACAAAGTTCAAAGTCAAACCTACTGTCCGTGTTACATCTTGCTCACCCTTTTTCAAATCAGATACGGGGAGTTTTTACCATCTGACCACCAATTCATAAACAATACAATCTCTTTAAAATACGGATATTTATTTCACCAGTAAGTCCTCTGTTTCCAAAGCAGCAGGAGGCAGAACTGAAACCCATAAAGTCCATTTGGGTTTTGATTAATGAACTTGATGCATCTTAAGTATCAGAGAACTGTTCAGTCCAGAATCATGTGGCACAGCAGCAGAAATCAATTGAAACCGTTAAGTTAGGCATCCAAACACCGGTCTCTGCATATATCCAGAAGTGCTCTTATCTTGATGAGCGTAGCTACATCCTGAGCTCGGCTGCGTTTCAGACACAGACAGGAAAAGGCTTAGCTCCACCCAGACATGTAGCTGGCTGCGCTCAGTGCCTACATGTGGTTACAACCACATGCAGAGCTCGTGGGAAACAAAGTGCCAGGAACACAGCTGCCAACTCCTTTTTGAGCAACAGCCCACTGACTGTAGCACTTTCCCAAGTAGTGAACTTGGAGAATTAATGTTCCCTGCCTCCCAGATTTCAGGTTCAGATATAAGTTTCAAAGGCAGATATCAGGTTCAAAGTAAGATCATATTCCAATCCTGCTGATGCCGCTGTGTTGTTACAAATGTTGACATAGGAGGAACAGCAGCTTGACTTTGTATCTTGGTCGTTCACCATGAATGGATTCAAAGCACTAGCACAACTACCAATATCATTTTTACTGAGTGATCCAAAAAATTATGAGAGACAAAAGCAAACTGCAAAGCATAAGCTCAGCAATAGATGTTCAGAAAACTTTGTTTGCATTGGCAGTGACTGAAGAAGTTACAATGCCTTTTGTGAATGAGTGCCACCAGCTAGCACAAAGAGAAGTAAACACAGTCATTGTTCATCTATTGGTAAACTCACAGTGAAAAGAACTGGAATAAAGGTCTGCTAACTGATTTCTTATAATCCTAGCCATTATTTGTCACAGGGAGATGTTTTACACTATACCAAAACAGTCATTAAAAATTCTCCTGCTTCATTAAAGTCTTAGCTAGGCATGGTGTCCTCAAAGGTGAGCTATCCAGTAGTAGTTCCTCCACTCATTCCTTGAACTTCACTGATTAAATCTGATAAAATTGCCCCGGTGCCAGCTCCTTTATGGGGGCAATGCTGAAAGATTTAAAGAGTGAGATGAATCCAATGCTGGTGAACCACTTCATGGAATCAAGTGCTGGAGAGAAGAATGCCTGCCCAAATCAGTGGTAATGGCATTCCTCAATTCAGTACCCTAGTGAGGCATTTTTTAGCATGTCATCATCCTTGATGTTGATAGTGAGCTAAGGTCCAGCTCACTATTTGACGTTTTACTGTAACAGTCGTCTCTCAAATATTGAGTTATGTTGATATCAGCTTATAAACATCATCTTCTAAGTACAGGGATTAAAGACAATGGACAAAGCAAAAGCACATAAGTGCTACTTCTACTAATTCTTTAACTACAATTCATTCCTCTTTAGTTTCAAAACATCCTTTCTCCCACATCACAGGCACAATTTTAGATATTGTGCTAGAGAACCCGAATTTCTTCAGCGTCTCTTTATGTAGTATGCTCCAGACCCTAGAACCATCTTGACTGCCTTCCTCTGGCTACTCTTCAGCTTGCAAGAATCTCTCCCACAGTTAGGAGCCCAAACTGGACACGACATTCCAGATGTGGTCTCACAAATGCTAAGTAGAGGAGAATAACCCTTCCCCTTCACCTTGATGACAACCCTGTCCTCCAGCACACCAGCAACTCCCCAAGTTTCACGTTATCCACACGCTTGCTAAAATGCATTCCAACTCATCACCCAGATCACCAAGTACGTTACACAGAATAAGCCCCAATATTGCGCCTTGAGGAACACCACCCGGCCAGTTTTTCCATTCCAACTGGGTAGTCCTGGGTGTGGTTGTAGGGATGCTATGAGAGTCCATGTGGAAACCCTAACTAAAATCAAGGTAAATGACAGTCTCTGCTTTTCCATCATCATAAAAGACAATGAGATTGGTAAGGTAAAATACGCTCTTCTGTCTTCCCCTGGCCCAGTTTTAGTAATTCCAGTTAAATAAAGGTTAGCTACTCTACTATACACGTATAGTAGGTTCAGGAGGAGGAGGTTGTGTATTTTTGGAGGGTGACTAACTAACAGCTGAAATCTCATTCTATCTTAAATGCATATTCATAACTTTTGCATTCCAATCTTAAGGAAGATCAGAAAAATGGGCAGTGTTGAAAGCATGTATGAATCGCTGTATCTAAGCTGACCTTATAATTTGTTTCTGGGTGGAAGACCCTCATTTATATCTTCTTGTGTGTAATCCATCATATATTTCATAATATAACCAATTAGTGATGTTGGCAAGCAAATGCACCCAAACTTTGACCAGTCATGTGCAAAGTGCCTGTTACAGATAACCAGCACAGATCAGGAAGATGCTTGCAGAGAGGAGCCCCTTCAGCCAGTGGCCGGACATTGTGTGTGAGAATTTCTGATCCAGGTGTAAAGCTCATTTAGCAACACTCTGCTGCAGTTGTTCATGCAGCAGGATAAGCTGGGAATCAGATTTGAGTTTCTCTGTTTAAGTGAAGAACAAGCAGATGATGTTTCCTAACTTTGAAAAATGCAACATTCAGCCATTAAATTTGAGAGAATATTGAAACCTATAAATAAGTTATAAAAAAGCTTATTGAATAAAAATAAGTCAGGGGGTTCTTTGCAAAAACTGGTAAATTTTCTTTTTGTCTTACACAATTAAGGAAAGGTTCAATGAAATTAAAAGAAGGGCATTTTTAAAGCAATAAGAATTATTCACACAGCTTGTAGAACTGGCTACCAAAAGAAATCACCGTGACAAGAATTCAGGAAGGTTCGAAGGTGGGCATCTATGTGAATTACAGTAATATTTAGTTTTAATATTAATCAATAATAAGGTTTGTCCAGCTGAAAAGTATTTTGGCACTAAATTATTACAAACCCTTTCCTTTTTAAAACTGGAACAAATACCTATGCATACAAAAAATCTCTGAGACTTAAGAGTTTCACTATTATTTGTGACGCTGAACAAAAAGATCATGCTAATTGCTAACTAATTACTGCTAATTATTAATAACTGCCTATATATAGGCTAAGAATCCACTGCAGTCAGAGGTGGGGCTTGACACACCTGCTTTTCACCTAGCTAACATGGATGCTGCTATGAGATAAACGTCCACGATACAGCAGCACTGTAGGTTTTAGTAGATCTGTGTAAATCTGCCCAGGACACTGTACACTTAGACAGCTAAGCCACAGTGCAGTCCAGTTTGCTATTTGCAATTTTGCTCTGATGTTTTTATGCTCTCAGACAAAAAAAAACCACCTTTAAAAAAAAAAAAATTTAATATGGCAAGCATACTAAAAGAAAGAATTACATCCTGCATAGGCTGTGTTACTGCCTTCCCCTTTCACAGCACTCCAGGTGGCTGCTGCTATATTGTGCTCTCTAGGTTTGCCCACTTTTGCTTTTCAAAAAGAAAAAAAAAGGGAGCGAGGGAAGGGTCCATTCCCTAAGGACAGGGTCTCAGGTAATGAAGGCCTTAACATTCCATTATGAGTGCTATCATTTCTATTGAATATTCCTCTCTCCCTCTTAACATTTCTACTAACCAAATATGAAATTCAGATCACTCTTCTGACTTGCCAGGTGCATTCATAAGTCCTGAAAATTCCTACCAGTTATTCTCAAGTAATTCTGTATGTGTTTCTTGCCCGTGAACCAGCAGTTTCATTTGGACCACTGTAGTCTCAAAGGAAGCACCTGTCTTTCATGAATTCATCTGCTTATTCCTGAAAGTACTGATAAACATTTAGCATCTGAAACAGCCAGTGGCAATAATTTCCACTATATCAAGCACTTGCAGAATTCTTTGTGTGTTCAATATGCTTCCTGATAAATTGATTCCCTACTACTTCCTGTAGGAATTCCTGCAGAAATTAATGAATTATTATTAATTTTAAAAAGGATCAGTTTAGAAACAGATATTCAACATACCAACATATTCAACATTTCTCCGTAGCACTTAAGATGTTGTTCTATCCCAGCTCAGTTGCCTGTTATGCAGACTGGGAGTCCTCGTTAACTTAACCTTCCTGTGCACTAAAGCTGTTTCACCATGTTTTGGCTACCATTGTCTGTGGTTTTAGTGGTTCTG